TTATTCCTCCTATCCAATCAGGTACAGAATCTTTCATCAAACAGGATCACTCTGTTATAATTGGAGTAGATCATTTAAATCCTTTGCTAAAAACTGAGATCAAAATAGATGAACACAATTGCCGATCAGATGAGCCTATACTTAAGGCAAATGTGTGCGTCACTACCTCCGTAGAGGGCGTGTTACCTACAGAGCCCTCAGAAATTACCTCAGTTAAACGTGAAAATGGGTAAGAAATTGTTCTATTTATTTTTGTGGGTTCCCTTTTGCCTTTAGCTATTTATTTTTTTATTCAAATTAGGCATTCTTTGAAGGAAACTATTGATGGAGAAAAGCATGACACTCCAAGCATTGATAATCCAAAGCTAGATGATTCTATCAAAGAAGAACATGATTTTGATCTTAAAAAGGATCGAAAGCGTAAAGGAAAGAGATACGAACCAACAAATGTCGAACAAGATCTTAACTTCACTCCTAGGCGGAGTGGTAGACAGCGCAAGCAAGTCGAATTTCTAACAATGGAGCCAATAAAACCTAAATCCTATTCTCGATCTACAATCATAAATGAAGAAGAATGTGATAAGTCTCGGGGTAAAAAACGAAAGGCCAGTGATGAATATGGGGACGATGACAACGGGGAAGCTTCACTTAAGGAGGGCAAAGTTAAACGTAGACGTAAGTCCCTCAGAGATTCTGAAGGGAAAATTAAAAAGAAGAAGAAGAAGCGTAAGATCAAGAAATCTGGTAAAGTTAGTGGATCGGCGCCTTGGATGCGGGGAACTTCTTCAGAATCCAGTACTAGTGAAGAGGAAGATTATTTTGAGCGCGTTCTTCTGGCGATTCATGATTCTGATGATGAGGATCCGAAGCCCAAACATAAAATTGGTAAAAACGATTTTGAGTGGAATAATCAACCTGAAAGTGATTTTGATCCAGAAGGATTGGATAAGGAGAGTGATGTTGATAGTATTACTCAAGGAAGGAATCTAGCCCGCCAAAAGCGGAGACAAAAGGGAGTTAAAAAAAAAAGAATGGGAAGTGTTGAAGACGAGGAAGAGTTAGAAGAGGACAAGCCATGCCAAATATGCTCTCGATCTCATTTGCCAGAATGGATTCTTCTTTGTGATCGTTGCGATCTGGGCCATCATGCTATGTGCTTGTTTCCACCCCTTTTTATCATTCCTGAGGGGGAGTGGTTTTGTCCGCGTTGCCAGCACTCTGCATTAATAAATTCAATAGCTAACAAGATTACAGAACTTCAAGCAGAAAGGAAGGCTCGTGAGCATAAACAGCGAATGCAGGAGCGAATCAATTTTATCAGTATTAGCCTTACGAATATTCTTCCCAGTGAACAAAGAGCTGCAAAACACAAGACACGTCTCTATGGTTCTGGCAATGGTTCTATTAATGGCCTAGATGAAAGTACAAGCGACGAAAGCAGAACTATCTCTGATCGTTCAAGTACAGTGGCCGATTCAGAGGGCACAACAAGAAAATGTCGTCTTAGGCATCGGCACGAGAATGACAGCTGCGATAATGATATTAACGAGACTAACAGCACTTCTAATGATTCAAGTTTCTCTAGGATTAGACGGAGAGCACGACGTACAGCGAGGTCTAGAGCTGGAAGCCGGCTTACCACTAGACAAACAAGATTCAATAGTTGTGAAGATACAGGTTCTGGAACGGAAACAAGCAATAGCTTAGAGGCTCTGCCTCTCATGCGTGCAACGCGAAGGCGTTCTATCCGCTATGACATAAATGATGCTTTTAAGCAGATTGATGAAGCCCTGGAGGGTGATGAGAAGTATCAGTCCCAGAAACGCCGTCGTGAACGACGCAAAGAAAGACGATCACAGGGATTGCCAACAGATGACTCATCCGAAGAAGAAGAAGAAGACGACGACGGGGATGTAGAGCTAGGTACCACTGAAGGAGGAAAAGATGGTCGGCGAACCGGCGGTAGGTCCAGAGGAAAGGACCTTTCAAATATCCTCGGTCCTGATTGGAAAGATGATGATGCAGAGCGACGGCGCCGCAGACGACGTTTGGGCGATTCACTTTCTCAGTCTTCTGAATCAGAGGCGGCTTTCGGAGGTCGAAAGGGGTCAGACGGAAATCAGACCATGGATAAACGGGCTCGTCCACGTAAAGGCTCTGATGGAGACGACGATGATGATTTTCAGCCCAGTGAAGCTTCAAATTCATCTTCCAGGACCCAAGATGATGAATCTGCGGGGAGTATCGAGGAGGAATTTTCATCTGGATCTATCGCATCTGACGATTCTTGGCGACATGAGCTTTCTTCTAAAAAGCGATCTGGCCGCAAGCCGTCTTGGAGGCATCGAAATAATAAATACTCTATGTCTAGCTTTAATAAAAAGCGCTTTCAAAAGTTTGATGGCAGTGATATTGATGCAGAAGCTGGTCGAAATTCCAGAATTCTGCCTAGCCGGTAAGTCTATATTCACATATACTTCTTCCTCTTCCGCTTTGCTTTGTATTTTTTAATGTTCATCTCCAATTTTACAAAGTATTTTTCGCTAGAACCTAGCCTAAAGATTATGTTTTTATAAATTTTTGTAGTGGAGGTTTTTATATTAAGCATATTTTTGTTTGTTTGCTTGTCTTGGTTAGCCTAAACTAACATGCCTATACTTTTTTCCACAAGTCAGTTTACAAGGTACACACTTCAAACTATTGCCACCTTCGTCGTATAAGTACAATTTAAAGGTTGGAGTCTTATTTATATTTGGCCAACGGTTCAAACAGGACACTACAAATGTGAAACTTCGCTTATATTTCTACAACTGGCTTAGTTTCATTGTATATGAGAGCTCCAAGTTAAGTTATTACCACAGATTAATCTATTTGATTTTCATATTATTCATTCCTGAGCTGTTGATTAACAATATTACGATCTATATTCTTCCCATTACGCTACGGATTTTTGCGAAAACTCCAGTTATTGGAATCGAAGTTTGTATATATTTTTTAAATCCTTATCTTACTTTCAGTCTTAATCGATTTTTAGCATCTTGTCTTGAAATACCTCAATTTAGGTTTGTGAAAAAAGCAGAATTATTACCTAAAATAGGTCTATATTATTTTTATTGCTTCGAAATATATGAATCTACGATAACTTATGATGCTTTATCTTGTTGAACTTCGCGCATTGTTTTGTTGTCTAAAGCCTTTACTATTTTATTCATGGAACTACATCTATGTATATCCGAATCGTTCTTTCTCGCTTAACTGGCTTTATTTCAAAGTCATTTTCCTCGCTCAATTTGTCTAAATTCTTGCTCTTTAGCATTGGCATATTTAACAAACCCCTAGGCACTTCTACACAGCGCATTCTCTAATCCGATCTTAATTATTTTTTTATTACATTTGAATATCCTCTAAGCCAGTGTCTATATCGATTACATTTTTATTTAATTCGCTTTTCTGGCATCCGCTCTCTTGACTCTAGAACCACATGCTAACAGAGGTCGTGAATTACAGTTCGATCGGATATGCTAATCAATCTTGATTGGGTGTAAGCATTGGATTTCACTTTTGCACACAGCCTGTCTATCAGATATTTTGCATTTTGTTTTTAATCGGATCAAGACTGGCGTTTTCTAACAGCATCTTGCCTATGGGTTGGAAAAAATTTCCCATTCTGATTAAATTTTTTGGGCTTTCGATGAAATATGTGGTCTGGCATTCTTCTAGATGAAGACAATTTTTTCTGCTAGCCAAATTACTTTTATGGAAACTTAACTTTATTTATTTTTTGGTAGTATAGCTCAGTAAGACTGTTCAAGTGTTATCTATCGGAAACTCATTTTGCTTCATCCGCCTGGAATTCCAGCACTGAAGCTTGATTT